AAAACCACTGTCTTATCTCAGCGAGACAAACGGCATTTATTTTATGTGCGTGTGACTGTAGACCCACTGATATTTAATGTTCAGGCTTTGCCGCACACATTTTAGTTACTTGAGTGTCTTTGTGTGTGTTTGTAGAGACAGATCCTGACCTGAAAACTTGTCAAATTCCCAGACTAAACACATCCCAGAAGTGTTAAAGGCTCGGCTGGTAACGAGAAACAGTCACCTCTAATAGACACACAGTGTATGATAGTCTCTGTCGGTGTGCCGTCAATCACAACAGCTGTATTCTGGGAAGAGGGCAGAAAGCCCTCCTCCCTCTAACCTTGCTAAGCATTTTTGCTCCGACAACACAACGGAGCCGCAGGGTCTCAAGTTCTTTGCGAGACCCAAACATGACCCCGTTGCCTTGCATAAACACATACACACACACGCACACACACCTCACCCAGGAATACCCCCTTTGTTCAAGGCTCCGGGAAGTGCGAATACCTGGTAGTGAAAACATCCCTCTGACTTGTCTAGGTGTTTTTAGTGGGTTGGAAAGTGTTTGTGTGTGTCAGTGGTGGTGGTGAGGGAATGGTTGTTGTCTTTGGAAAGAACTCCTATCATTTTTCAGGCAGGCCTAGTGTTGAAGGAGCAAGTGTGGTTAAAGGCAAATTACACTGCTAGGAATACATGTAAATATAATTGAAGGTATACTTGTGAAACATGTTTGCAAATAATAGAAATCTCACCATAATGTGTATTGTATTAGAACAAAGGTGTTTTCAATAATTGCACAAACATATGCATAGTTTCCTGTGAAGTATAATAGAAGGCAGGGAAGGAATTAAGAGAATGGAAGTGAAGAATATAGTTGAATGACAGACAGAGAAAAGAGTGAGTTCTGAAGTAAGGGCGTGGGTGGTTTGTTTGCACGACAAAGTTTTTTTTTTGTGTGTGCTTGCCCTCAGGTCTTGTTTGAGGGTGGTCCTTCTCCGCACCACTTCATTTTCCCCCTCGCAGTCTTTGGTGATCTGGAGAGCTCGCTTTAGGTTTTTAATAGCACACACACACACACACACAGGTTGAGCTTTTTGACCACCCCAGTGGAGGTAAAGTATTGTGCAGGTTGCGCAAAACTCTATGAAACAGTAAATGGAGCAGTAAAGAGTGCTTGGCTGTTCTTGGTGTAATATAAAAACAGGCAATGATGAAAGTGATCCAGGTTGTGTATAGTTTCCCAGTGAGGGGTGTTGGTGCTGGTTCTCTTTTAAATATAGACCGGCCAGCTGATTAACAAGATGAATGATGCTTCCATGTGAGTGAAGTTCAAAGATGCTTGCAAAACATTGTCTTTGTGATGCTGTGAGTTCTTCGAGTGTTCCTGTTATTAGAAGCATAATTCTAATTCATTTTTTGGTCATCATTCTTAACAGTAATATTAAAATTGGGTTGCTAATGCATTTGCATTTGTTAGCATTAATCATAAGGTCCAAAAGTGTGTAAACATCCTAAAAAGGTTTGCAGACATCCCAATATGTGATTTTTGAACAGGTCACTTCAAGGCTGTGGGTATGAATGTGCTGCCATAACAGCCTCCACACACTTTCAGGCTTTCCATCAGATGTTTGTCTTTCCTGCAGAGATTAGTGAGGTGCGACGCTGATGCTAGCTGTAGGGATCCAAAATTCTTACACCAAACGTAGTCACAAGGACAAAAAAAAACTTTACTACTAACTTACAAACATTTCGTTGCTGTATGGAGATCAAGTTTCCCGGTTTGTCCGCATATCTGGTTCTCTTAAATGTATTGTCTTTATATTTCTCAGTCATTCTTGCTGTATCTTTATGTCTCACTTTCTGCACCGTTGAACTCTACCCCACCTTCGCTGTCTCCTGGCCAGAGTACCTTTCACTGCCTCTCGCTTTTTCTTCCTCATTGGACGCTACAACCACTCCTCTCCTTCTCTCTCCTGTAGGATAATCAGATTATGTGAGGAATGTGTGAAAGCGGCTGTGTATTCAGCCTCGGAGCTGCTGTCCGATAGTCCGACCTCTCTTGCTGCTATGAAAATGAACTATGGTTACGCTGGAAACGCATACAAATGTCTCTTGAATTTATCGTTTTGAAACTGAGATCCTCTGATGACAGGCTTTGGCATTGATGTCCTCCATTGTTTGCCAGCTATCAGCGCTTTCACCTGTTGTCGGTTAATCACATACCTGTGTGATGGGCAGATGGGCAGAGGGAGTTATGATCAGATCTGGCACAGGGGCAAGGAGATATATGACGTTTGTTGCATCATCACAGATATCTGGCATAAAGAAGCAAGCGCACGTAGTCCGAACTAAAAACCCTTATTGGCACAAACTATTCCAAAACCCAAGTCCAGCATGTGGAGCGAGGAGGGCTGGTTTGTTTAAGACTGCTGAGACAATTGGCACATGGGTCAAATCGGGACTCCTCCTCTGCCTGTAGCCCAAATGTTGACAGAGATGATTTCATATGATTACGTAAAGAGCATAAATGTATCACAGCTGGCTTGGCAGGAGGTGAAATCTTCATCCTCTGTGGAGCGTTGCTGTCTGTCAAAACTCTTGAGTGCAACACATTGCACGAATGCCATGTGCCACTGGTGAGTGCTGCCTTTTCGAACCCAATTTCAGATTTCCATGCTTCTGTGACAGCTAGTTAGGTATAGTGATACACTGTTTAGGACTCCCAAATTGAGCATTTGTGTGGTTAAGTGTCAGATGTCCTTGTAGGCTTCATGGATTTTTAAATCTTTACTCTATTGTATGTTGTTGTAACCCCACAGGTGGTGGTATTGTCTGTGGCATTAACCATCACTGCTGCAAACGGTTGGAGAACTACAGTGTGCAATACACTGGGGTTTATTTTCTTTATTTAACAATGTGTTGATTCATTTATCGATCTATTGAATAAACGTTTATGCCAGAATTGTAGTGAAAATTTTATATTAATATTTTATAGAGCTCATGGTGACACCCTCAGATGTTTTTATGTCCAATAAACAGGACAGGATCCAAGGAGAATAGATTTACAATCACATAGGCAGAAAACCTTCCCATTTACATGCTGATGTCTTTTCTTAAAACATAACTGAACTTATTTATCAGTGATCAAAATGGTTGCTAAGTAGTTTTCTGTTTATTGTCTGATTGACAAATACACATCTTGGTGACAACCAGGGTTAGAAAAATAGATTTTTTCTTTGAAACTTTCTGGCTTTCCTTGATCAATAATATTGTTGTTTATGTAGAAGTTGTTGTTTGTCAAGCTTCTCTCTTGCACATTAGATTTTATTTTTCAACAGATGAGTTAAATTTCACAACAAAGTATAAAGCCAACTTGTGATTTCAATTTCTCAGCCTCACTGAATTTCTCACCTTGGACTTCATTTCAACCTGTCCCTACAGCTACTGTCAAGATGTTCTTGAGTGATACAGTGCACCTTTAATTCCTTCAGTGTCATTGTGATGCGGGATGAAGCTAGAAAAGAACATCAAGCACTCAAAGCCAACTTCTCTTGTGTACACAGGTTAAACCATAATGAACTCATCATTTACTCCACTTGCCCCCTTTAGTCTGCAGCTGTGTTCCAGTATGATGTCGACACGTTTGATGGCATCAGATGTTTACAAAAGGCTTGGGTTGCACCAAAACAGGCTAGGACCCTCATTTTGAGATAGGAGATTGTTATCTGAGTGCCTGTGCAGAGCGTGGTAGCTCTGAGTCACGCTTATGAACTTAATCTGATTCCCTCTGTATCACAACAAACTCTTAGATATGAGTGTAAAGGTGTGTGAACATAAACACACTGAGCTGCCAGCATTGAACCATATTTGATTGTCCTGCTATTGTTTCCCTCTATATGGGAAGCTGGTGTGTACTATTCACCCACAGCTATAATTCTGCTGTGATGTGTTCGTCAGGTGGGCTGCCAAGTCTGTCCCTGCCCAGTGGTTATCAGCCTGCTGGATCTCAGCACTGGACTGTGATTGATTGACTGACTTTAAAGCTCTGTTTTCCATCTGACTACCTGGCTGCCCACTTGTCTGTTACATAACCGTGTTTTGCTCTTGTTCTCTGTCTGTTTAATGTTGGACTACATGGCCAAAAGACACTTGTGGAAGCACAGTGTTCATACTAAAGCATACAGTACATTAGGATTGATTAATGAACAGTTAATGCTGTGTCCTTTTTTTATGTGTAGTTTCTGTTTTGATGGTTTACTGTGCTGTTTTTAGCTGCCTGTGTCCTTATTTTGTAAAAGAATAAACCTGGTGTTACTGATTCTATAACTTGCTATGCCGTTATTTCTCAGTGCCATAGAGCTCCAGTATGTTTTAAAACAGAAATACTTATTAGGGCATCAAATGTGTAATAATTCACAGCTGAAAATACTGTCCAATAAGTGCATGATTTCCTCTTATTGAAATAAAATTGGTGGTAGGAAATATTCATGCAACATCTAGCTTGTAGTGGTGAGTTATATTGTACTAAACAGGGTGATGGTTCATGCTAGAATACCGGTCATCATTACTAAACACAGTGCATCAGTGTCACGGTATCTGCGTAGTTAAAGTTCAGCAAAGGTTTAGGTGGCAGAAGTTTACTCAGAACCAGAATGTGTTCTGTAATTTATCGTTAATACAGGCTTCAGTTGCAGTGAATGAGAGAATGAGTAAAAAATGTGCAGGATGTGACTAATGCACACACACAGTTTTCCTGTTTTTCCAGTTTTCTCATTCAATGAAGAATTACTTCTGACATTTACAGTGTTCTGAGGTGAAGTTTTGCCTTCAAATGAAGTTTTGTAGTACTGGTAGTACATGCCCCATTGGATTCAAGTGTATCAGTTTTGCTGTTTTGTTAGCAGTTCTTGAGATAGTGGTTTGCTGCTGTGTTTAATGTAAAGAATGCAATGGCCGTCTCTTGTCTTCAAGGAAAAATAACCTGACTGTATTGTCTTTGTGTGGTTTTTCTGCAGCGATGGAGGAGCTGGTGTGTGAGCTTCGTCTGTTCCTGGACCTGCTGGACAGGGAGTATCTGAGTGCCGGGGTCCGAGAGAAGAAGACACACCTCTCCAACATCCTGCACAGAGTCCTGTCAGACAAAGGTGAGGTTACAAGCTATATTGCACCTTAAAACTCTTCGGAAACACTTACCTTGAATGGTCACGCAATTGGAGTTAGTGGAATCTAAACTTGTTTCTCAATTATTTATTACATAGTTAGATGCCTGTCATAATCCGCATTCAGTGATGTTTTTCAGCACTTGGCTGGTTGGTAAACTTTCACATGAAGAATAAGTACACAGGTTCGGCCTTGCTTATCGTTTAAATTATGGACACGGACCTCTGTCAAGTTTTCTCCACTGACACCATTTCCAATACTGAGCACCAGTAGTCAGCTTCTTTTCCCAAATTTAAAAATGTATATCCCCTTATCTCTGTTCACTGCAGAGAGGTAGCGAAAACACGTTTTTTTTCATTGCTCTGAAATGCACCGCTTTCAAAGCATATGACAAAACCTCACTTCCTGAGAGTCACTGGGATCATTCTTTCCCAGCTAACATTACACTGTCATCAACTCTTAACTGAAAGTAATGGTAACACACTAACATCCTTTCCGGGCTTTACTAAATTTGATTTAAATTGATGTAAATAGTGTTATCATATCCTAGTCTGAATGCAGACATTTCTGTGTTTATGATGTTTATCTTGTCTTCTGTGTACATTACAAATTGTTCTATTATTAAAGACAATTTGGTGTTTTTTGCCACATAGAGCAAGGATTAAAAATCAGCTCGTAATTTTAAAATACAGTTATCCTTCATGTTGTCAGGCAGGCGTTTACCACATTCCTGTTTTTTTTTTTTCTAGGTTAAATAGAAAGAAAGGGAATGCTGCTTGAGAAATGACGATTAGCTGTCAGTACGCCTCAAATGCAAAGCCAGATATCAACAAGGAATAACTGTATTGGGAAGTCTAGAAGCTACATGGCCAGACTAAACCTTTGTGGGGCCCTAAAGAGAATTTGTTTTGGAGCAGCCGTGAAGGCCTCCAAGCTCCAAGCAGCTGTTATTATCAGAACGGGGCTACATTTGATTTTATGTGATTCATAGTGGTCGGCTGTCATCAGAGGGCCATACTGGTATTAAATACAAAAGATATACAGTTAATGCTATTGTTGGCCAAATATTTTGTAGTTTATGTTGGTGCAGGGCCAAACTAGTTCTGATTGCTTTAATGGTTATGATTATCAACTTATCTTCAATTTCTCACTAAGTTTGTTTGGACAATTTCCTGATGTATTGAATTCTATGGCTACCAATATTCAAATGGGTTTTTTTTAAAATGTATTTATTTATATACAAACATCATTTAATTGGAAATGATAGAGAGTTATGAATGGAATCAAATTTAAATGCAACCATCTGTTTGTTATTTCATTGTCTAGCTGAAGTTGTACACAACAACTGTACCTTGACAAACATGGACACTAAAATTGTCTAGAATTTGTCTTATTTACATGTATTTTTTATTTTTGTTTTGGCACCCACAGAATTCATGTGAAGAGATTCTAACCTGGTGTACATTTCTTATGTTAACAAAAGAAACTATTTTTAGAGGAACAGCTTGGTGGACAGCAGTTCCCTTATTTTGTGAAGGACTCAATATTGGTAAATGGCTGGACCATCGAAGTGCAGATTCAGTAGAAACAGAGAAAATGACAAGACTAATATAGCCTTAAAATATCCTCTTTTTTTTTTTTTAGGAGAGAAACAATTACGACCTGTATCGAGTTGCAACTTCAGAAATTTTACACGTAATTTTTCAAAGCGCCTCCTTGTTTATGTCTGCTATGTATTGTCACTTCATCCTTCCCTCCCAGAGCCTTCGTTCAAGTCAGAGATCCATAGTGGTCTTCCAGCCCCACCTCAGATGCCCCTACCGGAGATCCCCCATCCCTGGCTGGTAAGACTTTTTTTTTTTTTTACTGACCCCAAGACAAGTGCCACATCCTGTCCCTTGTAATGTAGTTGCAGACTACTTACATAGGATCTGTTTTTTGTGGGATGTAATCATACTGGATTTTACTGTAAACAATGCTGACACATTCAGTTTTAGTATGTGCTTTGGTTGTGTAACTGAACAGACGTGTTTCTCCAAATACCAGTCAGCTCTGTGTCACTTTGTTTCCAGTGCTGTGTCTTGTCTTTTTCCATCTATAATGTGACTGAGCCAAGCAGCTTGCTGCCAAAATTCTGACAAGTCTCAGGTGAAAGACATAAACTTTACTTTAGAAGTGACAGTGTTGCTGTGTTTTCTTACAATGCCAAGTTATTCATCATTAAGGATAGACCCATAAAAGTTAATAGGTGCTGTTCCTAAGTCTTGTAATGGAAGGAAAAACAATTGTTGATGGATTCCCAGACGTAAAATGAAGTCGTGTATATAACACATTCCACACCATAATGCCATCTGATCACATGAATGCCAGATTTAACAATACAGCGGGACATGGAAGCCATGTGAGATGTGTTTTTATAGTCACTTGTAAAGCAGTAGGAAGGCTCGTCATGACTTCAATATGTTTCCCCGTCTCACACAGTGCCTTGCATCACTGTGACAGTCAGGGAGGGTCATAACGTCTCCATTATAGCAACTGTATTGTGTGTGTGTGTAAGTGATATAGTGGGAGTGAAATGAGGAGCATGTATGTATAAAGAGATCCTGTGAGGAATAGCAGGGAGTGTGTGTTTGTGTGTGTGTGTGATTGTTGGAGCAGATGCCTCTGATGGAAAGCAGGTGGCTGTGATGGCTCGCAAAGCCTTTTCACCATAACAATAAGCCACAACACCTTGTTCTACATCTCTCACACACACACACGCACACACTGAGGCACAAGGCCTTGCACTGCAGTTTGTAATTAGAACCAGTCCACAGCCTCAGCCTCCTCCGGTCACCCCAGTGTGTGTCTGAAAATCACAGCCGAAGTTTTCCCGGAAAACTAGACGAGAGAGGAGGAGTGATGTTTCTGTGTCTCTACGTTTTTGTCTTGCTTCTTTGTAGCAACTTTTTCCATCCTACAATCAAACCAATACAATAATAAAATGCATAGCACTGCTCTGTAACCGAGACTCCAGTTTCTCGACACTGTCAGGTGGTTTCTCTCACTTTATTCTTTTTACATTAGCATGAACAGGAGAAAGAAATGTAGTTAGCAATAAGTAGATTGGGAACCTTTACATGAAGGTTTATGTCTGACCTTGCATGTAAAGCAAAAATGATGTCAGCTCCCATGTTTGCTTTCTTTTTGGAGCTTCTACATCTCATAGAATGCCATCAATGGGAATGTATTTTATTTTGCACAGAGTATTGACAACTGTCAAGTATCAGCAGTTGTTCAGATTTGTGATCTTGATTTGAACACATTTGGCAGAAAAGAAGCCCACACAGGACTGGATTGTGGGTGAGCTGCAGGGGTTTTCTGTATGGTACTGGCTATACTGTCAAAACCACTTACATGTATTTGAAAATGAAACTTGTCGGCAGGATGTCTGGCTGCAAAATCAAAAGACTGGATGAAACCCCCAAATTTCTTTGCTCTGCTACAATTTGTTTTAGGAAATGTCAATATGTCCTCAGTTCTCAGAAATGACAATAGTAGATTTTATCCAAAGAAATGGGGAACAGATATCCATGTTTATTTAATTATGACCTGGTGAGCAACAACATGCAATGGACACTGGCAGTACAACTGTGCAAAAATAACAACGACACCAATGGCATAAGCTAATAGAAACATTTCACAGTCGGATGTTGCATCAGCAAAATAGAAATGAGTGAAGAGCGAGTTTAAAACATTCTGCAACCAACAATTACAACACTAAAACATACTAAATTGATATAGAGCCACATATATATGTATAAAAAACTCTACAAGTAACATATGTGCAGGGTGTTCAGAGTAACAGCAGTGAAGTATAATTCACATAAATATACTTGGATGGAAATCAGCTACTGTCTTTTATTTTCTTCCAGCTCCCTGTCTCTCTGCTTCTGTCTCTCTGCTCTGAAATTACCATCCATCACGTTTCCACACTGACCTCTGGATAAGCTGTCCAGGCTGAGAGGGAAAAAAAAAAAAAAGTTTTGCTCCCTTTCTCCATTCCCCATTCTTCTAAGTTGTATAAATTTTAGCCTGCAACAAATGAACAAAAAGATAGACGCGTAAAAAGAAGAGAGCGAGGAGGAGACTGTCAAAGAGGAAAGGAGTGAACAGGGTAGAGAGTTAAAGAAACAAAGAAGAGGATTTAGTGTAGCACCCTGTTTAGTCATGTGTCGGATGAAGTTATTTTCCACAAAAGAATGTGGAAGGATTAGTCTTGAGTTATTATTGGTGAATAAGGATAATGAATAGACAAGAGAGATCCGGTGAAAGAATAGAGGAGGAAGAGACGGCCTTGGCCATGGTCTGTCTGTGACCCGTCAAGCCTCAGTGCTGAGCCAAACCAACACTCTCTGCAATAGCGAGGGCCTGTGGTTTTAGAAGCTGCATCAGTGCTCTGTCTACTCCGAAGCCTGTGGCAGCCATTTTGATTATTCACTGCTATATAAGGAATAATTAGTTTGGAGTAGCTCATTTGATTTACAATGCAATTGTAAATGTTTAGTGAGAGGACAGTGTTATTGCACTAATCCTAAATTACTCAGACAGAAAAATTGCGTGAATAAGACGGATCTTGTCATTTACACAACACAAAAAAGGAAGTAATCAAACTACACAAACCTCCACGATGCGTTTACTCGTTGTGGAATTGTTCTGCAGTTTGTCGGCTAGATAGATAGATAGTCAAATTCCCACCACTGGTTATTGCATATACTGAGCACAGTAGACTGATATGAATACTGTGGAAGCTAATTACTGCCAACATGGTGAAACAAATAGATCCTGTAAGTTATTATAATGCGAAACCTTAGGACATAATGACTTGGTATTTCACAATAATGAGATGCTTTCTAAAAAAAAAATAATTATTTAGTGTCTTAAAATAACACAAAACATTCTCAAAATGGCATGTCTAAGTAATATGCTAGTATCTTAAAATAATTAGAAACTCTCTCAAAATAGTTTGTAGCCAGTGTGCAGTAGTAAACGAACTAGAGGTTTCAAATGACTTTTAGTTAAGCACTGCATTAGTAAGAGATTTTGTTAGCCCAAAGTGCTATCAAAATGAAACTATTGTTGCTGTGTTTTTCTAAAATCGTAGGAAATTAATGCATAAAGCCGCGTATTTATTGTATTTCATTTGGCTAGCAGTGCAGACATGCTAAGTTCACGTCACAGATGAGGAACACGTTTCTGGCAGGCATTGCTAACTGTTTCCTCAACAGGATGGAATTTGCCTCTTTACATAAATATATTTATATAAACATTAGCTGGCAGGGAAATTATTAATGAAACTTGTGGTTAAGATGATATGTTAAACTTATTTGCAATTAAGTATGGAGCTATGCCACAATTGTCTGTGTATTAGCTATTTTTTGTTTGTTTGTTTTTTTTTAACACTGCCAAGGTCGTTGTTCAATAGCATTGCAAAATATCCAAAATAGTGAGCTGATGTGAAGACATACTAGCATGCCAACACAGTTTATCTGTTACAAGATCATGATAGTCACATGTAGGTTTCTCCTTGGCTTTAGCATTAGCAAAACGAAACAAAGAGGTGATGTGTGCAAGCTACTAGATTTGTTTCCCAAGGGCAGATTTGTTGTTGACTCCCGTACACACGCACACATACGCAAACACAAACAAAAACACTAATGTAATTAGAGATCAGGAGACCCAGCAGGATATCCACTAACCAAACAGACATGCATTGAGCCTTTTTTTTCAGTTTATCAAGCTAAAACTGGTCTGCTTTGAACCACCCTGTTGCCTTCCCCTTATTGTGTGTTCATAGGAAGACGATCCCTGGACAACAAAATTGAAGTCTAAACAAAAGAAAAGTGCAAACCTTGGCCCAAAAGAAGCTTGCTCGTAAATGCTGAATGCAAAGATTACACGATTGTATTTTACCATATTTTAACATTTATTTTTGTGTACTCTGTAGGTTTATTTGTAATAAAATGTCAATTATAAAAGCAATCCGTTTCCCAGAGACAAATGTGATGTCTTCAAATGTTTTTTTTTATTCATTTTATGATGATATAAAACAGAAACACTGCAGTGTCACACATAATAAAAATATCTAAATAATGTTACATTTTCTATTAATTGGCTAACTAACCAATAAATGTATTATTTTAATGCTAAAGTGGTAACTGCAAAAAACTAATCCGCCAATATAGTTTATAACATGAAAAAACGAATGGATTTTAAATGAAACTAATAATGTTTATTCTCCAAGGAGTGGGAAACCTTGCAAGGTGTTGTACTATAAAGAGGTGTGTGCATGTGTGCGCAGGTGTGAGATAAATCAGTGAAACGGTTCAGTTTGCTCACACACAGAAACTGTATACACTCACACAGAATCACATCAGCTTGATCCTCTCCACATCACTCACCTCATAAATCTCTTCAGCCATCTAAGGAAGAGGATCGCTGCATTATTTTACAATGTGCTACATGCCACACTCAAATGCACGTGCACACACAAGCACATAAACACACAATCACACAAACACACCCAAAAACAAAGTCTGGCTCTAATTAGATCATAATGACCACTAAGTGTGACCTAATCCCTGCGAAGACAACAGCAGTCTTTCTCTATTTCTTTTGGTCTCCTTTCATATCCAAGATTTATGCTACACTAATATTGCTCTTTTATCTTTGGCATGAAATGCATTCCTGTCATCAACGAGCTTAGTGTCTAAGCCACATGAACAGTTTCCATCCAGTTGCTGAATAGTTTGAACAAAAGGCCTGAAAAATAAAAATGTAAATTATGTGAGTCTCCATTAAACTG